TAAAAATAGTTTTTAACAACAACAAAAACCCACAGCATTAACTGTGATTAACATCAGCTCATCAGCAAGAATAGCATCTGTACCCTAGTACCAGGAGTTTACTAAAAGTCAGCAATGAACATATCACAATTGCCAAGTTGAGCCTCCAGCCAGTCCACCTGAGAATGTCAACGTGGTAAACATTAAATGCATCTTAGGTCGTCCAGCCATACTGATGACAGTCAGATCCTCTGACTTGCCAATGTTTTCTCATGAAGCAATGAGAAAAACTTGATTCTAAAATCTGCCATCTATTCTGCCATGCTTCCAGAAGTACCAAGCACATGCAAATTTAAAGTGTGCCTTCAATCAAAGAGCAATAAACTTCCTAAAGTATAAAGGAATCCACCCCCAAGTACCCATGCAATCTATAAGCCAATGAGCACACAATGTGCATGTTCCATGGGCCACTTGATTTCAAATCCTGATTCTGTGCCTTACTAACTACGAACCTCCAGACAAGGGAGCAACCTCTCCTCCATACACTGGAGACAGTGGGGACTCCAATCTCTCCTCTGTTCACTGGAGTCAATGGAGCACAGTTCAGAATTAAAGATAATCTACGCCAAGTGCCCAGAACACTTCAAATATTCATAAATGGTTATTAAAAGTTCTTCTGAGTTTGCCAATTTACATCATTAACATTCCATACAAGAGCCTCCAAATAATGTTAATACTTCAAAGTCTAGTTTAAAAAGGCAACTATTGGGGCCTCCCTGGTTGTGCAAGGGGTTAAGCAAAGCACTATGAAGAAATCTGCAGCCTCTGCAGCATGAGTTCGATCCCTGGCCGGCCAGGGAGCAATCCACATGGCGCAGCAGACCCCTCTTGTCTCGCCCACTGCTCCCCTCAGCAGTGTGTTTCAGTCAGTCTGCCTGTTCTGTTCCCCACTCTGTCTCTAGTGAATCCTCTCACCCCCGCATCTCTGACTTGTACCCTGGCTCTTGTATGTATAAATAAATAAATCTTTAAAAAAAATAAAATAAAATAAAAAGGCAACTACTGTCAATGGGCCCTGGTTACTCAAGTAGTCCTCAACCATTTACGGTAACTAGACCAATCCAATGCGCTTATCCATGTGTAAAAACAGAAATTATTCACAAAAACTGATTCGAGAATCTTTGGTCCTCAGAGTTTGAATAAGCTAAGCCAGTTTTGATAAACGGCTTGCCTATAGGAGAACCACACCATCTCGTGTCCTTTTCAAGTTCTCACTATTCACTGAATTAGGAAAACTATGAAATAATACAGGGGCAAATGAGTTCCACCAATATTATCTAAAGAAGCAACATTTAGAGACCTGCTAATGTAGATGTGCAGAGGGCAAAACGCTGAGGTGAAGACCCTTTGCAAAATCTAAACTCACTCCAGAGAACTGGATATTATTCAGCAGCAAAAAGCAAGCATTGAAACATGCCACAAATAAAAAAAAAAATATGAAAATATTGTGGAAAGCAAAAGAAGCCAGTCACAAAAAACTTCATTGTCCAGTTTCATTTATCTGAGATACCCAGAATGGGCAAATTAAAACAGGTAGAGTACAGATTAGGGCTCAAGACAGTGGGGCATAGGAGTTGGGGAGTAAGAGCATTGCATACTTCATGGGTAAACTGTACGGTGTATTTATTTTATCTCCATAAAGCTGTTTTAAAAAACTAGCTCATTAACAGATTAGTGGATTCTTTATTCGTTGTTGCCTGAAAGAGTATCCTCTCCATTAAATACTAAAATGAGAGCTCAGAATGCTCTCTTGAGTTTGAAGTTATAAAATATCTTGCGGCCTCCCTGGTGATGCACTGGGTTGAATATAGCACTGTGAAGCTGTCTGCAGCCTCTGCAGGATGGGTTCAATTCCCGGCCAGCCAGGGAGATACCCACATGGCACGGCAGACCTCTCCTGTCTCGCCTGCTGCTCCCCTCAGCAGTGTATTTCAGTCCATCTGCCTGTTCTGCTCCCCGCTCTGTCTCTGGTGAATCCTCTCAACCTCCCGCGCCTCTGACCTGTACTCCCGTTCTTTATAAAAATAAATAAACCTTTAAAAAAAAATCTTGGCTGTGGAAGTATAATTACCTTGCCTTTGCATCTATTATCTCCACTTTATATCAACCATTCTAAATAAACTCCAAAGATTGAAATTGCTCAAATAATTGCAAAATATACCTATGCTCAAATCAAATTCTACAGATTACATTCTTTATGGCCACAGGGGCAATGACTTGTTTTTGTTATTTAGTAAAAGCTGACCACCTTTGTTAGCAATCTCCTACTGAACACGAGCTACAGTGTGACCTTCAAACAACTGAAGCTCCACTTTCACAGGCTCTCTTTGTTTTCCTCAGACATAGGGGAAGTATCATATAACAGTGACAGACAAGAGTCTGACCTATTCAATTGGACCCATCTGCTGGGGACCTACTGAAATCAGTGTGATTCACTTGAGTGGAAATGTTACTGCAGAGAACTAGGGAAAAGAGGTGACCTAGCTCTTGATCAGGAAATGAAAGAGACAAATTAGAGTATGGGCCAAGAAATGGACAGCCTGAAAAACCTAACTAGACTAAGGACTCTGATTTAGAATCTCTGTAGTGATTGCAATGCATACCTGAATTTCTAATTTTTTTAAAGGTTCGAAGATTGAGAAAAGCTTGTATCTGATCAGTGTGCCAGATATTTTGAAAAAGGACAAAAATTTGAGGACCCTCTATCTCTGCCTCTCAAATTCCAAAATCTGACGAGAAAGTAAACATACATACTCACATGAAGAGATTTCAGAATAACAAGAATAAAAATATGCTTTAGGTATATATTACTATAGAATACCTACAATATTTAATTGATTATGGAGGGGAAGATGTTAAATATTAACAGTATAAAGTAGGTAATGCCTCCCGAACATTTAATATTTAATATTAAGATAGCAATTTTGTATGGGAGAAAACTTATTCATACTATTTATATAGAGATGTTTATTCTAAACTCATAACTTTAGTTAAGCAAATTATCTGCTTATTTTTAATTACAATTTAACCCCAATTATTCATGTGTCATCTCTGCTGGTTTGTTTTTCAAGTTATTTCAGTTTATTCTTCCAACTGATAACAAGAACCTATTTAAAATGTACTACTCTTAATTTTCTTTGTATCAAAGATTCCCTGAATTTGGAGAAATAAGGAAGTGTTTTCTTTGAAGACCTAGGTGACCACATGTAAGTAATAACTTTTGCTTAAGTACTTAAAAAGATTTTCCAACAATCCAGAGTAGACTGAACTAAAAAATATTTCCACTTTATGACATTAAGACCCTCTCTTGCTATCCCATTGTTCTAGTTCAAATTTCACTTCTAATTCTTTTAACACTTCCCTTAATTTATCAAACATTCTTCCTCTGGGACTAAATTCTTTCAATACAAACATTACTTATGAAATGACAATGTCACAACACTAGATTTTTACTATTGCCTCATAGAGGACTTGCACCCTGCGTTATCAGTCATTATGATCAATTTTAGCAGTGGGAAAAAAATTGTTACTAACATGTCTTTGCTTACAAATTACAAAACTTGATTATGCTTTCCTAAGGCCTTAGGTGTTGTGTAACTATTTCAAAATTCCACAAGCAAGTTTTCCAAACGTGACAATCAAGAACTTGGGAAAGTCAACTGAGAACTTACAACTGATTATAATTGAGTTGAGCACTTGCTTTTTCAAAGAATATTAAAAAGCAGTAAGTGACTTTTCAAAAATAAGCATCAGGGTGCTAACAGTTGCTTCACCGCATGGACAGAGAGCTCATCTATGCCTACTGACTTGAAACGTTTTCTTTTAATGTTTGTGTTGCTGTCCCAAAAGGCTAATTTATGCTTTTCCTACTAAGTTGTTGAGATTATGTTAAAAGAACAAAGTAAAGACTATATATATTTGTGTACTTTGCTTGAACCTAGTAGTTTGAAAGCAAACCCTAACCATGCCAAATTTCAATTAAATGCTTGGGGAATCGAACATTCAAGTATAAACATCAGACTGAAAAATCACATCAGAGAACTACAGCATATCACTTGGTTACAAATAAAGTTAAAAAAAAAAAAAGCAATTGACAAAAAGACAGAAAAGTAAAAAAGCAAGTCCAAAACCTCCCTTCAGGTAATTGTCCCAAACTCTCCAACCTGACCTTTGTCCTCCATTTTCAAATCCTGGACAGACAGACGAGATCCATTTGCTTAGCTTACTCCTAATGGGAATACTTTTTCCCACAAACGTCCTTCTGCAAAAAGTATTTCTATTTCTGACTTCTACCCGAAGAGTCACCGTCTGTGCAAAAGCAATAGTCCTTACTACTCATTAGGATTCCAGAACAGTTTGAGTAAGATTTTTTAAAAGATTTTGCAATGAAATTGTATAAAATAGGCCGAATTCAAGTAACTGGAGAGGTAAGATTTCAAAGAGCACAGACTTCTGAAATCCCATGTCCTTTTCCTCCATCCTCACTCCAAAAAAACAACAGAAAGCTCTGTATCCATAACACAATATCAGTATTAAAAAGCAGCGGAAAACTTTAAAAACACTCATGGGGGCGGACCTAGGTGGGCACAGTACGACTGAGAAAGCTGGAAGGCGACAGGCTGCCTCCCAGGCCACGAAACCAGGAATAGCTTAAGGACACGAGCCTCAGGGAATTCAGGCCAAATTTCTCCCGCGCCCACCCAGGCATACTAAAGATTCCCCGAGCTGGGCCCGCAGCGTATTCATTATTTTAAAACTCCACAAGCCTGGGCAGGCCAGAGCTGGCTAAAGAGGTCAGGCCGGCTCGAGGGGTGCAGGAGACTCGAGGAGGAGGAGAGGAAAGCCGGGGAGTGGAGGGCCAGGCGCTGGGCCCCGAACCGGTCAGCGCTGGCCAGGCCCGACATGAGGCCGCAGGAGCCGCTGCAGGCGCCGGGGCGCCGGCAGCGCTGGATCCGACTCACCTGCCCATTCGCCCAGCTGGGGTCCGACCCCAGGCTCGTGATCCAAAACCCAGAGCCGAAGGGCCGTGAAGAGAGAGCACGAGATGCGCAGGGCCAGGTAGGCCACGGTGCCTGCTCCCACCCAGTACAGAAAGCCGGCGGCAGGGAGAACGCGCTCCATCGCTTTCCACCAGGCCTCACTAGCTCCGTGAATTGGAGGGAAAAAAAAAAAAAAATGAATGAATCCAGGAAGAGGCGCTGGCCGTGACGGTGAGGACGACACTAATATGCGCTGCTCCTACACCTCTTTTGGCCTAAACCCCGCCCACGGCGCCATATCCCTGCCACCATTGGTGATCTCGCGTTCTCTCTGCGCGCAGCGTCTCAGCCATTGGTTGGTTCTAGTTTCGCTGCTCCGCCCACTACCCCGCCCTCATGCGTACGGCGCGGCGATTCCGTTCTGAGGAGGCTGAAGCGTACCTGCCAATCAAGACTAAGCCCCACCCAACGCGTCCCCACGCCCCCAGGATGCCGCCTGAGGGAGGCACGTCTCACCCCACCACACCGCCCAGTCCTCTCATTGGCTGCAGGGACGCTCGCTACTAAGGAAGACGGGCTCCGATTGGCCAATCGGACCAGTCTCGTTTAAGCTCGGGGTTGAATCGTAAATGGGGTCTGAGAAGCCAGTGGTGAATGGGAAGATTCTATTGTAGTAAGAAGTGGGCGTGTAGCCGTGGTTTTCTTTTCACCACAATTAAACATTTTTGTATCTGTTAAATGTGTTGTGCTCGTTCATATAAACTTTTCCGGACAGAGACTTGAAGTCTTGGGCCTTCCTGGTGCGCAAGGGGTTAAGACGCAACCTATGAAGCTTCCCCAGCCTCTGCAGCACGAGTTCGATCCCCAGGCCAGGGAGCTACCCACATGGCGCGGCAGACCTCTCCTGTCTCGCCCTCTGCTCCCCTCAGCAGTGTGTTTCAGTCAGTCTGCCTGTCTGTTCCCCATTCTGTTTCTGGTGAATCCTCTCACCCCTAGCACCACTGGTCTGTGCCCCTGTTCTTGTATGCATAAATAAATAAATCTTAAAAAAATAATTTAAAAAAGACTCGCAGACTTCTGTTTCTTCCTGCAGCTTGTTTCTGTGTTTTCATCACAGCCACCTTAGCTCTGATTACCCTCGCTATTGAGGGCCCTTTAAATACCAAACCCGCCTTTGGGCTGAGCATTCAACAAGGTGCAACATCTTGGATTCAAGGCAAATAACTTCACAGAGTCAAATCAGAATACATAATGGCAAGATGTAGGGACAGAGCTTGATAAAAAGTTTGAGGGAGGGTCTCTGTGTCTTCTCTTTAAAGGACTGCAGGGGTTTTCCCTTTGCTTTATTTCAAGGGGGGGTGGCAGGCCCTGGGGGGAGGTGGAGAAGGCAGTGGGACTGAGGGGCACAAAAGTGTGCAGTCCAAGTAGAGACATGGAAACTACAAGGCCAGTTTAAGAACTCGTGTAATGCAATAAAGTTCTTCACACAGTCCAGCCACCACATCAGCTGCTAGAGGGCCCTGGGACCCGAAGTCATGATGAATACCAGAGAAACTGCATTTTTTTCTATAATTACTCCACTTATGTCCACTTTGCTCAAACTGAATACATTGTTCCACTCATGTTTTCTTGCGCTTGAGCAATTACCTTCTTCCAGCCATATGGGGACATTCCCTTGGTTTGTGAGGAGCTGGGATACCAGGTAACCTCTGCAGTCGTGAAAGATCAAATGTCTGTGCTCTACTCTAGAGGATCCAGATGAACCTGAAGAAGATTAAGATCTTCTCAGACAGCTTAAAAACTGGTCTTGAACTCCCCTCAAACAGTCAGCCCAGAGTCCTGTCCAGTACAAGTTCTAATAAACCATGCCTGGTCTAACAAGGTCTCTGCAGCGAATTCTTACTCTAGAGGGGTAAGAACCCACTGTAATAACACTCATTCTCTCATCCTCCCTTCAAGTTTTTGCTTCTATTTCTGGCATGGGTGGGATCATAGAAGATAGGACCTAAATTCAGTCTTAGCCAGTAGGGGCTGCTGATTCAAAACTTGGGAGTTTTTTGTAAGGCAGGAAACAGGCATACTACTACTAAGGGGTCAACAGCTCAACATGTCTTGAAGCTAAAGGCATATTTTATCATATTTTCCAGTCTTATCTCTTCCTGCCCAACTCCCATATTTTCCCTCACTATGAGATCAATTAGGTATAACCCTGAGGCTGTTACGGTTCGTAATAAACTGTCAATTGTCCAGCAGATTTAACTATGCAATTGAACAGGAACCACATTTTGTTTTAATTAAATTTGATACCTTTGGTTGGGGCTGCCTCGCCAATTCAACCAATTCAAACGAAATCTCGCAACTGCCCTCTCAGTTAAGCCAAAATAATGTTTTTATGTTTCAAGGTCACTTTGCACTCTGAAAGGTCCCAGCTATCCTCATCTCCTCAAAATCTTTCCTGGAATTATCATTTATGTAGAAATAATGACTTCTTTCTTAATTCAGCCACAGCAAATGTATAGAAAGCTTCAAGGCCCGGGGAGGCAATGAATGAACTAACAATATGAAATTGCAGTCACTTGCCAGAAGGCCTCCCACCTGGAGTTCCCACAAAGCACTGAAACTCATGGGAGTCATTCCCCTTGACATGGGTGCCCTTCCACACTGCAGGAGGAATGGCAAGAGCTCCAACTGCACCTCTTCATTTCTTTACATGGTCTCCCTATGGGATTTTATCCAGTGCCTAGGTTTGTATGCTAATGACTTCCAAATATCTGTACAGAGCTTCGGATTCACCCGCCCACTCAACATCCTCGCTCATACACAAAATAACCACCTCAAACCTGTTCAAACATGTTCAAGAAACATGTCAAACCAGAACTCTAACACCAACGTACATGTGTGCATGCACACAAACTCATGCACGCATGCTTTCCCTTCCCCTCTCCCCATCTATACTAATGGCACCACTATTTACCCTCTTTCTAAAGCCCAAAACCTAGAGGTCAATCTTGATTCTTTCCTATTATCAAATCCGATGCTTCAGTAAGTCTTGTTACTCTATTTCCAAAATACATCTTGACTACTTCTCCCCACTTTTCCTTAAGAACCTCATACCCAAATCACAAGTATTTGATGCCTGGAATATGGCCATAGTCTCCTAATTAGTCTCCCTGAAATCTATCTTGGTGTTTGTTCTCACACAGGGTTTGTTTCATCTTTTTTTTTTTTTTAAGTATATTAGATATCATGTCTTCCTTTCAAATCCTTTTAAGACCTTTGTATCACATTAAGAACAAAATCTCCCGAGACTACTTGATGTGTCCTGACCTCTCCAACAGCAGGGACACCCTCCCTAGGGATCGTTTGTTTCCACCCACACTTCTTGCGGTTCCTCAATAAGTCAAGTTCATTCCAGTCTCAAAGAACTTCTATTTCTTGTCCCTGCTTCCTGTAACCTCTTACCTTCTATTTCCCAAGTCTTGCTTCTTTATTTTATTTTTTAAGATTATTTATTTATGCATACAAGAAATGGGGTACAGGCCAGAGTTGTTGGGGGGTGAGAGGATTCACCAGAGGCAGAGTGGTGAACAGAACAGGCAGAATGACTGAAATACACTGCTGAGGGGAGCAGCAGGTGACACAGGAGAGGTCTGCCTCGCCATGTGGGTTTCTCTCTGGCTGGCCAGATATCGTGCTGCAGAGGCTGCGGATTGCTTCCTAGCGCGGTGCTCAACCCCTTGCACCACCAGGGAGGCCCTCCTTTATATTATTTAGGCTTTTTACTTAGAGTGGTTTTGTCTGACTCCCCTACATAAGATCCCAAATAGCCTCTCCTTTTCCCTGTCACTAAGCTTTTACCCTAATTTGTTCTCCTTATAATACTTAACGCTTCCAAAGTTTATTTGGTTTTTGTCCATCTTCCCAATAGAAGTTCATGAGAACAGTGACCTTTTCTTATTCATCACAGTATCTTTACCTATGTACCTAAGAGTAACTGACACTTAGGTGTGTGATAGAGATCACAGAATGAATGATAGTCTAGGAATAGTCTAGTGAGAGAGACAGATATTAAGCAAACATCCAACTAAATATATGTTTAAAATTGTAGTAAGTACTACAAAGAAAAGAGCTTAAGGAAAGAGGACCTAATTATTTTTTAAAGATTTATTTTTATTTATTTATGCATACAAGAACTAAGGTATAGGCCAGAGGAGCAGGGAGTGAGAGGAGTCACTAGAGACAGAGTGAGGAGCAGAACAGGCAGATCCACTGAAACACTGCTGAAGGGAGCAGTGGGTGAGACAGAAGAGGTCTGCCACGCCATGCAGGCCAGTGGCATCGAACTGGTTAAACTGGCCGCATGGCTGGCATTAATGTGATAGCGCTGAGAGTTAAGGCAACATAAAAAAAAAAAAAATTGTAAGGAACAGTAGAAGAATCTGTAAATATTTGGCTGCTACACAAATAACATACTCAGACACAACCACATTGGATTTCAGTCTCATTTATTTAAAAGATTGAAAGTTCAGACCTAGTCTTTAATAAGGGAAAATATGTAAAGCAGCAATGTTGCATCATCTTAGTATACAAGTATTTCCATTTAATTTTAATTCATTTTCAGGACTTCTGTACATTTTAATTTAATATTTTCATAATGAAATAAGAAATATTTTAATATAATGAGAGAAAGTTTCTTTCTTTTTTTAAAAAAAAAATTTATTTGGCCTCCTCGGTGGTACGGCGGTTGAGCACTGGGTTGCAAAGCTGCCCACAGCCTCTGCAGCGCTGGTTCAATCCCCAGCGGCTGGCGAGGGTCCCACATGGCATGCAGAGCTCTCCTGCCGCACCCGGTGTTCCCCTCAGCAGTGTCCTCTGACTATCTGCCTGTTCTGTTCCCCGCTCTGGCTCTGGTGAATTCTCTCACTCTCCCGCGCTTCTGACTATACCCAGTGCTTGTATAAATAAATAAACAAATAAATAAATAAATCTTTTTTAAAAAAAGTTTTATTTATTTTTGCAGGCCAGAGGTGTAGGGGATGAGAGGATTCACCAGAGACAGAGTGGGGAACAGAACAGGCAGACTGACTGAAATTCACTGCTGAGGGGAGCAGCGGGCGAGACAGGAGAGGTCTGCTGTGCCATGTGGGTTGCTCCCTGGCTGGCCGGGGATCGAACTTGTGCTGCAGAGACTGAAGAAAGCTTCATAGTGGTGAGACTTAACCCCTTGCGCCACCAGGGAGTCCTCTGAAAGAAATTTTCTTAATTAGGGAATTTCA